CCCCCCCCCAACAGAGGAACAAAGTTGAGACCAGAAAAAAAAAAAAGTCGAGACCAGAGCCTTAGGTTTCCATCTCGCTATGCATGACCGGAACTGGGTCTGGTGTGCGGTTGTCTTCTGAGTCGGACTCGGTGTCTAAACGCAGCAAATCCTATGGAATGCAAAGTATCTCCCTCTCAAATTTGTATTTTCCTCCTATTTTATAGTTGATTTCCGAATATTTTCGTTTTGAGAACAAATCTGAAATTTTTTTTTTTTTAATAAAATCAGTGTGGATACGGATAAGATACGTATCCTTCACGTATCAAAACGTATCCGTATCGGATACGTATCCGATACGGATACGGGATCTATTTTCACGTATCCGTGCTTTAGAGGCCACCACTGTTGCAATCAAGTGGTTGAATAAGGAATGATCACTTTCTGGTCTTTCAGAATCCCAGTTGAAAAATGAGATTCTCTTCCTTTATCAACTCCACCACCCCAATATCACGCCTTTAATTGTTTTTGCATTGGAAGAGACCCCATTTGATTCTTGTTCGTGAATACATGCCTAATGGTTCCCTCAGTGACCACTGACCACCTTCATCACAGAAACAACAACAAAGTTGATCCACTACCGTGGAAGTGGAGGTTTCAAATTTGCACAGGTGTGGCACATGAATTGCACTATCTACACACTGGAGGCAAGCATTCTGTCATACACAACTTTTTCAAAACACATTACATTCTTTTGGACCAGAACTGTGACCCTAAAATTTCTGGTTTATTGTTGCCCAGAAGGGGACCTATTGATGTTGCAAGGTCATCTCTGCTTGTGAGAAATCATGATACTTTCACATATTGTGATCCTGAGTATGCAGCATCTGGCATTTTGACTGTGAAATCAAATGTGTTTTAATTTGGTGTGGTTCTATTAGAAGTGATGAGGGCACGGCAGGCACGATATTTGTATTTGGAACGTAATCAACTTGTGAATAAACCGAATTATTCACTAGAGTTGCATACAGAAAACATAGTTGATCGGTTTCTTAAGTCCAAAATTGCTCCAGATTGTTGGAAAACATTCATCAACATATCTGTCAGGTGTTTGCATAAACATGGAACAGAAAGACCAAATATGGGTGAAGTGAAGTTGCAACTTGAGCTGGCGTTTCAATTGCAGGAGGAAGCAGATTGAAACCTAGATTGACTATAATGTTGGTTTTCTCTAAAGTCTAAACTGTTTTACAACAGATATAAATGTGAATGATACTATGATGATGTTAGTGTAGAAAATAAGAGACGAGTAATACTAAAATTGTGGATGAACGCAGCAACTCACTATTATTTCATTGAATAAGAGATGACCTTTAAATAGTCATTGTACAACATACTGAACTAACAAGAAGATAATAAAATATCTTATCAAAACAAAACTTATCAAAAACTATCTTATCAAATAACTCAAAAAGATAAAACAAACTAAACAGATAATTCCAAATAACTAACTCGGATATCTCTAAAATTTAAGATTATCTAACAAAACTCCCTCATAATCTTAAATTTCTCCTTCTTCTTTCATTCCGAGTAACTTCCTTAACTTCTGAAATGTTGTTGTCGGCAATGGTTTTGTAAAGATATCAGTCACCTGCTCTTTACTTCCTACGTGTTCGAGCTCCACGCTTCCTTCTTTCACCTTTTCCCTGATGAAATGAAATCGGACGTCGATGTGCTTGCTTCTTTCGTGATTGATTGGATTCTTGGCTAGCTCGATTGCCGACCTGTTGTCTACTCGGATCAACACTTTCTCAGCTTTCATAATTTCCAGTTTGCTTAGCAAGTTTCTAAGCCAAACTGCATGTTGGACACTCCAAGATGCTGCTACATACTCGGCTTCACACGTTGATAGAGCTACGATTGGTTGTTTCTTTGATAGCCAAGTGAAAGCCGAGTTTCCCATGAAGAATACGTACCCAGCTGTGCTTTTCCGATCATCCACATCTCCACACCAATCACTGTCCGAGTACCCAATAAGTCGGTAGTTGTCCGACTTAGTGAAACACAGTCCAAGTGACATCGTCCCCTTCACATACCTTAGTATCCTCTTTAATGCTTTCCAATGAGAATACCTCGGATCCTCCATAAAGCGGCTTGCAATTCCCACACTTAGCATCAGGTCGGGTCTTGTACTTGTCAGATACCTTAGACTTCCGATTAGGCTTCGGTACCTGCTTGCATCAACTCTTTCAGCCTCTCCATTTTTAGATAACTTCGTTCCAGGTTCCATGGGAGTAGAAACTGGATTGCAATTCAGCATCTTTGCCTTGCTCAAAATCTCCTCGGCATACCTCTTTTGGGACACAAAAATACCTGTTGCTCTTTGGTCCACCTCTAAACCCAGAAAGTACTTCATGATGCCCAAATCGGTCATCTCAAACTCCCTCTTCATCACTTCTTTAAACTCCTCAACTAGCTCAGCTTTGCTTCCCATGAATATCAAGTCATCCACGTATAGAGCAACGAACAATATATCTCCTTTGCACTTCTTTAAATAGAGAGCATGTTCATACGGACATTGTTCATAACCATTTCTCTTGAAGTAGGTGTCTATTCTCTCATTCCATGCTCGAGGAGCTTGCTTCAAACCGTACAAAGCCTTTTTGAGCTTCAACACTTTCTTCTCTTCACCTCTCCTCATGTACCCTAGAGGTTGCTCCACGTAGACTTTTTCCTCCAACACCCCATTCAAGAATGATGACTTCACATTCATTTGTTGTATCTTCCATCCATGCTGAGCTGCTAAGGACAGTAGTAATCGAATCGTTTCCATCCTTGACACAGGTGCAAAAACTTCATCATAATCAATGTCTTTCTGTTGTTTATAACCCCTCGTCACAAGACGAGCTTTGTAGCGCTCCACTTCGCCATTTGCATTTGTCTTCCTTTTGTATACCCACTTCAAACTAATTGGCCGAGCTCCTGTGGGCAAATCTGTCAGCTTCCACGTCTCACTCTTCTCAATTGATCCGATCTCCTCATCCATTATTTTCTTCCATCTCTCATCAAGTATCGCCTCTTCAAACTTTATATCTTCTGTTCCTATCAATAGACATACTACATGTAACTCGTCAGTGGAGTTGTAGATGTCTTGCTCCTTTGCTTTGTATTCGGGCAAGCTCGGAAAACTTGTTCTTGAATGCCCAATACCACGTAGTCCGTGCACCAACTCCTTCCTTGATAGCTCGGCCAAACCTCCAAAGTTTAAATGCCCAAAACGAGAATGCCTCATCATCTTCATCCTTCACATCCAGCTTTAAGCACTTATTTTGAATGATGTTCAGCTCCAGTTTATACATCCGATTCTTTTTCATCTCCACTCGGGCTATTAAACGATCATGCTTGTCCTTCAAATAAAGCACTCGATCCTTCATCAGAACCGAGTTGCCTTTCTCCATCATCTGCCCCATGCTTAAGATGTTGCTCTTAAGTTCGGGAACGTAGTAGACATTTCTTATTTCTCCAACTCGTCCATCCTTCTGCATAAACTTGATGGTTCCATGCCCTTTTACCGCAACCTTGGAATCATCTCCAAATGACACGAATCCAGCCTTCACCTTGATGAGTTCGTTGAAGAAACTCTCTTCTCCACACATATGATTGCTCGCCCCAGTGT